ATAATTTGTTCATGTCTGTTCATTGGTTAAAAATCCATCTGATGGATCTTTAGCCAATGAACAGACATGAACAAATTATGTTCTGATCTTGTTGATGCAAACCCCCGCGCTTGTTAAGTTTTGCAAGCCCAAAGTGCACAGGCAAATCCGTTAACCTCTGAACCCGGATTGTTCTGTGTATTGACGCTGCCAGTTGCCAGAGACTACATAGATATGTGCTCATCCGCGAAAGCGAAAATCCCGCTTCCCGACACCTTCATGGGATCCTAGTCCCAACACCCTATACAAACCTTGCGGCTCCAATCACGGAAGCAGAAACCCAAAGCCGACCCCAGAAATGCGCAAGGATCCGCCTCTTGAGCCTTCCGTCGTGCCCGCAATTCCTGGTGAAGAACGCGCTGTGTGTCAAAGCAGGGGGATGGAAGTTTTGGGGTTCAAGCAGTTGCATCGCTGTCTTCCCGGGCTTCAGGGGCTTAGAGATTCAGGGACGGCTCGGGCTTGGAGTTGTAGATCCTGGGACTTTGCGATTCAGGGTCTGCGCCTCGTACTGCGACTGCTGGTTCTGCACCTGGCCACCCAAACCCGCAACAGGAGCACACTCACTCACTCACTCACTCACTGACTCACTCGCTCTCGCACTGAATATGATCAACAATATTTACATATAGTTCCACCAAGCGCTGGCGGCCTTCTGTCCGCACCGCTTGGAGAAGCTTTCCTCTACAGCAGCCACCGCCTGCCGAAATCCCAAAACTCAGACTGACTGTGAAGCCTGCACGTCATGTGTGTAACAGAAACATAAGGATCCCTACTACTGTAGACCCTAAACTCCTAAATAGTAGGGTCCTGTTTATGAGCACGCCGATGCAGTAAGACAGCTCAATACATCGCTGCATAACAAGGAGAACACACAGGCTGCCATACTTCGGATCTGGTGGGTCGCTCCGACAAGGAACCTGCGCACTCAGCTGGCTCATGGCATGCCACCGCCAAAGAGCCGATGCTGTCAAGCTGACAGCTCCACTGGCACGGCGGAAAAAATACACAGAACCTTTGTGTAGAAACTGCATGTGTTGCGAAACCTCAACGATGCGAGTTTCGCTACAAATACAGTAGACAAGCCTCTCGAGGCCTCTGCGACAGATGTCTTGGCATTCCGCTCCTCCTGCGATAAGGCATCGCGAAGCGACTGGACCTGACACACGTAGGACGGAGCCCGGATCGGGCAAGAGAAAGCAAATGATTCTGTTGAAAACGAAGACGCTGATGATTGCGATGCTAATCATCGAATTATGGAAAAAGTCATGTCTGTGACGATGTTGCTGCCAGCAAAGATGGGCGAGTGTGAGACGAGGACGATGAGGATGATCATGGTGGTGGTGGTGGTGGTGGTGGTGGTGGTGGTGGATGGTATGGAGCAGCGCAGGTTACTTACCGCATACTGATGCACAGTCTACATACTGAGCGTGCGGAGAGACACGTGCAAAGAGAGACAGAAAAAGAGAGGGAGAGAAAGAGCGAGAGAGAGAGAGAGAGAGAGAGCGAGATAGAGAGTGAGAGAGAGAGAGCGAGAGACAGTGAGCGAGCGAGCGAGCGAGCCAGAGCGAGCGAGAGCGAGTGCGAGAGAGACAGCGAAAGAAGGAGCGAGCGATAGACAGACAGGCCGAGCGAGAGAGCGAGAGAGACAGAAACAAAGGGACAAAGCGAGGGAAGGAGAGAGTGCCAGACAGAGAGTGCTTCAGAGAGGGAGAGAGAGATAGAGCGACAGGCAACCCTGCCCGGCTTGCCTGAGCCGCAAGATTTTCGAGCTGATGCTGTTGCTGCAAGGACTCCGATGCCTGACGGAACTGGTGATTTATGGTGACTCAACCTGGAGCCCGGAGGGTCCGTAGCGGTATGAAGGTTGAGTTTTATCCCCTCCCCCCTTCCGAAAGCTGGCAAGTCTGCTACTTATGTCCAAGAGTAGCTTCGACCGGATAGGTGGAACAAACGACGGAAGGAGTGCAGCATTGCATTGCATTGCATTGCGTGCCAATGTTTACGAACAGCACCCTGCAACATACCGCTTCTGAAGGGAGCTCTTGGACCAACCCTGTCTCTTCACATTTAGGCGTTAGCCGTGGGCCTGGGTCAAAAGATGGTATGAATTCGAACTCTTTCAGGTGCATAGAAACATGAGGACGCTTTACCTAATACCGGAACCAAAAGGCAGCAGAAGGCTTGTCTTGGATACTCCATGCGGCATTGTTTGGCACTCCCGAGACAGAACCTGTATGCTGACATTACAATCCTCGAGCAGTGCCAGCAGCGGAACCTCAACACGCCGTCGCTCACTGTCCGCCGCGATTGCGGCAGCCTGCAGTGAAACCCGCTATGCTCGAAAAAGGTCAGGGTTCCGGCTGAATGCTTTGGGTGCGCGGCCTCTCAGCCTGCCGTTTTGCGCTCGCAACTTCAAACTTCTTGAGTCTGTCAACGTGTGATCGACACTCCCAAGGCTTTTGGGTGGACACACACGCTTCTGTCACCTACAGTGATACCAGATCGAACGAAATCTGCATCTGTTTAAACTAAGGGAAAAAAGGCAGCTGCAGCATGCAGCTGCCACGGACTCATTTACGAATGAAGAAATGCAATTGCGTAAATTGCAATTCTCAATAGTAGGTGCCGTCATCCTTACCTGGGCTATATGAGTCTGTTGTTTCCAGGTTGCTTCATACAGGTTACTATTACTTTAAGGAACAAGTCCCCAAAAAGGCAACAAAGTACAGTGCTCCAGAACCCAGTTACCCTGGGCGTCGAGCAAGCCCTTCCAGTACCAAGCCTCGTAGGCCTTCTTGGCGTTCGTGTCCACGAGCACCTCGACATCGCCGGTTCCAAGCAAGCCACCCTGGCGCACCTCGAAGACCAAAAGGTTCTTCTTCTCCACAATCAGTCCGGTCAAGGGGCCGATGACAGGCGGAGAAACGCACCAGTCAAGGAGCTCACCCGTGGTCACCTTGAAAGAGGAGCCATGCAAGGGGCAAACGATGACGTCACCGATCACGTCGGCACCCTCGCTCATGGGCGTGCCGATGTGGGGGCACAAGTTGCCGACGCAGAAGAGCGCCCCCGCCTCTGTCTTGCCGATCAGCACATCGTTTCCGGCAAGCGTCAGGGCTTTCAGCTGCTTGGGCTGCAGCTCGGAAGACTTCACGCCCGTTTTGATCCAGGCGAGGGAGGGCAAGATCGTCTGCGTGGTGTAGCGTGCCGCGGTCTTGGAGCGCTTGCGGCTGGAGGCCAAGCCAACTGCCGCAGCCGTGCATGAGGCAACGGCGGCCATCTTCACTCCGAAGCCAGCGGCCGACTGCTGCCCGGGCAGCGTGGCCTGCGTTGGCGCGGAGACGGCCTGGGTCTGCACGGCATTGCCAGTTGGTGCGAGGAACGCCAACTCCATGCTGCAGGCGGACCTGTGACACTAGTGCCTCCAAGAATCCTTGAGCCCTACAAGCTGGAATCGCAGGAGAGTGCAGCATTTACAAGACTGGAGCAACAAACCGAATGGAGGTTGTGCTTCCTATACTTCTCTCAGTGGTTTGGGGTGTATGGTACTACCAGCTGTGGGACCATGAAGCCCCGAGGACCTTAATTATTCTACACGCATCAGCCATCAGGCTCGCGTAGCCTGAATCCTGAATCCACGTACTATCATGGAAATCATTATGCTTCTTGTCAGTAGTAGTATTTTGTTGCTACCTGATTGCTTTTGCAATGTGTTGCAATCCTTAACTATAAAAGCTGTGATAACCATAAATAACTATAATGGCTGTAATATCTATAAATAACTAGAATGTAATGGCTGTAATATCTGTAAATAACTCTAATGTAATAGCTGTAATAACTATAAATAACTTTAAATAACTATACTAACTATACTACTCATCATCCCCAGGCCTGCTCTGAATGGAGCTTCTGCAACTCTGACACACGCTGGCGCCAGCGGCTCTGCTCCTGTCTGTGAGGGTTTTTTTAGACTTGGAGGCTTTTTTTGGCCTACTACCGAAAATAGGAGATCCCCAAAATAGTACCCTAAACAGGAGGGTTTAGGGTTTAGGGTTTAGGGTTTAGGGTCAAATATAGTACCCTAAATAGTAGGATCCTCATTATGAGGACCGCCCCAAAACAGGTACCCTAATTGTAGGAAACTCCCATATGGGCTACTACAGTCTATGATCGTAGAAACGACTCTCACGGACCTGTCGAAAAGATTTATCCGTGGTTTGCAAGCATCAAGTTGAGATGGCTTCACATGACATGGTTGGTAAGTATGACTTTGCGTCAAATGTTTTGTGCATTTGTGCTTTGGGTTTGGAGGGCAGGGAAATGCCCGAGCCTGCGTTACTGCGACATCAGGACGAGCGATGCAACGCCGACTGAACTGATACCGGACCGCACCGTAAAGAGGGAGTCACCAAAGACAGAACATGTCTCCTTTAGATTTTGAACCAGAGTCACTAGAGCTATACTTGTTCGTGTTATGTACAGATCGACGGACTCAGGTTTGCCAACGATGATACTGTCTCATATTTCCGTACATCTGCATACATCCGTATCACCTGCCTGAGCCTCTGTCCAGACTGACTGGGGAATTTGCGCTGAAAGCTCAGAATCAAAACCCCCGTGCATGCCCTGCACTCGGGATCGCCGCTTCAGCAGGGGCCTCGGTTGCTGTTGCCAGAGCCGCCTCAGCAGCTCTTGAAGCCTCTTGCTGCGTGCCTCCGTCGTGCTTTCCGAGGTGTGGGTCAAGAGAGGCGATTGAAGGTTCAGCGGATCCCCTGATCGAAACCAAAAAAATACTCTCGAGAAGGGGGTCTCCAAAAAGCACATTGCGGATGTCTCTTCTCAGACTCTTTTCGCATCCTCATCATACAGAACAAGGAGACATGTTCACAAAAACACAGCTGAGGCAAGGAACGGACGACAAAAAATGAAAGTGGCATGACTGTAATGCTGGTGATGGTCATGCTGTGGCTGGCACTGCTGATGACGACAATAGTGAAGATGATGACGATGCAAAAGACGATAAGGAGGTCAGGGTGGGAATGAAAAGGAGCAGAAGCCTACTGCTCTTACTCGTACTTCTACTTCTGTTACCACTATGATCCACAACGCCCACGACTTACGACTACGACGTCGTCGTTGACTGCTACTACGACCGTTTCTACTGCTACCTTGACTACAGCTGCTGCTGCTGCTGCTGCTGCTGCTATAGCGACGACGACGACGACTGCTGCCACTACCACTGACGTTCTTGATGCCCTTGCTGCCGCTGCCGCTGCTACCAGACTGCTTGTAGTATCACTCCCAGTACCACGATGAAACGCTGACTGGGCTGCGGGCTGAACACTTCTTCTAGTCGATCCCGCTCTGCCTCGTCTCACGGGCAAACAAGAGTGGCACCATTGCAGGCAGAAGTAGAGGCAAGACTTACAGTTTGCACATCAACCTACGTGCATGCGCTGACCAACGATACAATCACCTACAATCACAAGCCGTGCCGACCACAGCCCCCGCCTTCAGCTTGGCTAACTCCGAAGAGTCCTTTCTTATTCTTTGCGACAACAGAAAGGAACTCTGGGCAGTCACTGGCATAGGATGGAAAGCATGGAGGGATGGTGGTAGAGGGTCCCAGCAGGGTCAAAGTTCTCCTTCAAGGCGGCCACTGCCGGCTCCATGGAGAACTCGAGACAGTGGACGCTGCATTGGAGTCAGTTAGAAGTCATCATGCATCAGGTTGGCGTCGTGTTGGTGTGGTTTGTGGAGCATATGGAATGCCATGCAGCATGGTCTTCTCAGGGATCCTGTTCTCTCCAAGTTTGCTTAATTCCTGATAATGCAACATTTGAACAAGCGTAGAACACAAAACATTGTGATCCTCGCATCAACGGTGAGTTTGCTTTGGCATACGACGGCTGGTCGCTTGTAGCGAAAGTCTGTATATCAAAGACAGGTTGCAGGAGTCTAGCTTTGTGTCGGTCAAACCACAAGCCCAACAATCACTCGCAGTGCACCGTCATGTCGGGTTGCTGAAACCACAGGTGGTGTTGAGGATTCAACATGAATTCAACAAACTCCTCGTAGCAAGCTCATATCGCAGCATGCACCTCCGAGGCAACAGGGAGTGTAAAACAATCCGCGGGTCTGCTCATTTTTTGCTACAGCATCCATCCACGACAGCACGCCACAGCCACAGCAGCGGCTGCCTCACGTACGAGGAAGTGCTGACGAGACAAGATAAGCGCATGATAAGGCGTTCAATATGCTGCCCCGATGCGGCCCCAACTGCCAGTCTCATGTCTGAGTTTCTCACAGCCAGAATACACGGCGGTTGCCGAAATCCGCTTGTAAGCGCCTGCGCAAGCCCACATTCTGTCGAACTTTTGCTCATGGGTTCGGCGTGCGGGTATGTACGGGTTGCAATGCTGTCTTGAGAGTCTTGGGTTGAAGTAGCAGAGACAAAAGAGCGGTACCGTTTGTCATATCTCTGCTCCTTGGCTCGTGCATTTCTTCCATGCAATTCCTATTCTCATCGTCCAAGGTCCACAGTTTCGGAAGGCTTCACCTCGCGACAGACAGTGGAGACGATGCAACCCGGAGAGTATGTGGTTGCTTCAGACGTCGAAGCTGACCGGCTCCGGCTTCATCAGGCACTTCGGGTGCATGTAGGGTGTATTGGCTTCAGATGTCTGGCTTCTTCCTGAAGGGCAGGCAGCATCCCGGCCTGAAACACCTCATCCGTCAATGGCACGGCTGGCAGTTGGAGGGATTGTCGGAAACCTTAGTCAAAGGCCAAGTGAAAAAAGCTCGCAAATGCCCGAGCGCTAATCATGCGTGCGAGTATATAATTGGTAATAAGGTAACAAGGCAACAACAACAAAACATCATGAATCATAATCATAGTTAGTCCAGTAGTAACAGCAGCAATGGAAACATCATTAATACTATGAATACTATTGAAAGGCACAAAATCTGCACGTTCTTGCGTTGGATTCCTGTGGTCCTAGGTCCTAAGACCTTCAATCGGATTTCTCAGGTTTCAAAGCAGCGAAGGAGTCTCGGCGACTTCCCCTTTCAAAAGCATTCTATAATGTAGGGGCCTTAATAATTAGACTAGGGTGTTGGGGTATATTATGCCATAATCATAATAAGGAACCCCCGAAGTAATATAATTATACTCTATGCCTGGCATTGACTATCTTCTATCTGCTTTCTGGTGTTGCATCGCGGGGTGCTATCCTGAGGTGACTGACGAGAGTGAGATATTTGATAGAATGGCTACTAGTCCTATCAAAGTATGACTGTCATCCCTTCATGATGTGCAATTCCATTCGTTCTGTTCTGCTCACCACAGATTACGAATCACACATCGCGACCGGGCGTGCTGAATATGAGGTCTGAGCCGACAAAGAAGCCCGGGATCAGCAAGGTCGTAACCTCCCGATTCCAAGCGACAGCTGCGGTGGTAGCATGCAAAAGCTGATGATGCATGTGATGATGCGGCTGGCGGAAAGGATGACAACTCGGGGACGATGTTGATGATAATGGTTCTGATGTCGATAGCTATGGCGATGATGAAAACGTCGATGTATGATCTCTAGGCGCTGACGGTCACCGCGGCGATCCCTGGAACAATCCTCAAGGCGACACTTGATACTTAATCTACTCGACCTATTTCTGTTCTTGCTGTCTGCGCTCCTTGTGGTGCTGAATTCCCTCTTCAATGACTCTCAGTGTCAGTTCCAGCTATTATCTGGTGGCCGCAACTCAGGATCAGGACGAGCAGATCTCACAATGCCGTAAACAACATGTGCGCTACGTTGGCACTTTGTGTATCAATGCAGTGCATTCTAGTGCATTATACTGCACCATCATGAATCAGACATACCCTGCTGATGCTGGAATGCTTTGCGGCTTTGGCCGTAGGTCAACTATGACACAATACTAGGAGCAGAAACAAAACTCGAACACCAACACACCAAGCTCGGAGACACACCAGGAACCGCTATAGAAGTCTGCATGGCAAGCCTTCGCAGTAATCCTTCATAAAAATCTGGACTTATACTTTATACAAAACGGTAATGACATGACTCTTAAAGAGCACGCATTCAAGCCTCCCTAAACCCAGCCTTGTCAGAGCCGGGGTCGCCAGTTGCAGCTGCGCTGTTGATCAAGGAGATCTGATGGCCCAGCGAAGGCTCAGAGGTTTATGTCTTCAGTGTTAGGGATTTAGGGTTTAGGGTTTAGGGTCTAGGGTCTAGGGTTTAGGGTTTATAAGGGTTTAGTGTTTAGGAGTTTAGGGCTTGCGAGTTCAGGGGCTAAGGGCTTTAGGGTTAGGCTCTGAGGATTTAGAAGCGAGTAGACATGTGTCAACATCACAGGCGTAAACTGTCCTCCTTGCCTTCCAGAGATTTTGTGAAGGCGCCGCGGCTGGATTGATCACCTCACACATTCAGGGGTTTCCGAAAATAGGGTACCCCAATATAGCACCCTAAATAGTAGGATCCTTATCATAAGGACCCCAAAATAAGGTACCCCTACTTTTCGGAAACTCATACAGAAGGATCAGGAGGTGGAGCCCAGAGATTCGCAGAAGTCAAAGCTAGGCGATCGAATGTAGGGGCCTTAGTGATTAGAATGGGGCTTCGGGGTAATTGATACTATAGTCACAATAAGGAACCCCCACAATAGTATTCGCTGTTTAGGCTTCTATATTACTAGATCGTCGCCGATCCCCGTTGAGCTCGATTGCTGGCTTACAATTCTGCAAGAATGCTAGGGCCTTCAGAACGTCCGTTGCGAACCATATGGCAACATGCGGCATGTGACAGGCAACAGAGCAGCTGTGATGGCACAGTCGCTGAAGCACATACCACCGAGATCGGGACGCCAAGAAGCAGAATGAACACGCCTTCCTCGATGACCTGCAATTCAAGATTGCGCATTCAGATTCACACTCAGCTTCCGGGTTCAGGGTGCAGAACAATGATGCCCACACAAGTGTAAACATGTAAACAACACGAGGTCAAGTTGTTTTCTAGTAGTCAGCTAGCCATGTGGCCATGTGAGTCGTGATGGTCAGGCCAGCCGCATCTCTCGCAGTTACTAACACTGAGCAAGAAGAACATGATACAAGTCATATGCATCATGCTGGCAAGCGACAGTAAAGAACAAAGTGCCGGCTGTTCCCCATGTCAAAAAAACATGCACATGGCAATTACACTGGTGCACTGCCCAGTAGCCCGAACTCATAACGCCGAATCGCATAGCTGGATTCATCGTCGACCCATAGTACCAGCAGCAGCCGTGTGTGGAATCAATACAGGCTCTGTTTACGATGCCCCTGTCTCCACCACGGATGAAATTCCAGGATATCACCATAGTGACAAACTTGTGCATGCAACATCCTCGAAACTCCAAGCGGAAGACATCGCGAAGTCCCTCAAGCCTGAAGCCCACTTCTGATCTGCCAAGGGGCTGCGGACTGGTCGAGCAGCAAAAGGAGCACGTTGGCCTTCAACATCGCAAGAAGTTGCAGTCGCGTGGTGAAAGGAGCAAAACGCGGCCAAAGCGACATGGGCATTACACATAGATGGCCCTGGATACCACTCTCGCAGCTTTCAGTGCGACTCTTCTGTGTCGCCCTTTGTGCATGCCCATGTGCCTCGGGACAGATGTGATGCCCACGCTCCTGCAAGGCTGTCTACATGCCACTCATGCATGGATAAAATACACATTGTACATGCAGTACAATATATAATATAGCAGATATAGCAAGCTACTATGATATGACATCACAACCTAACCTAGTATAACATAACATAACGTAGCATGGCATCAGTTATAGTATACACACATACATACGCTGTTGATAAGTATAAGCACAGGCACTAAAAATCTTTTGCAGAATACTGGCGATGAGCACACCGAGGAATACCATGTGCAGTTCCATCATGCACACACTCGTCAAGCGGCCGCTCGAAGCCGAAATAAACACTGTAAGATATCTCGATTACACACTGCGCGCGTAATCTCTCCGCTCACGGCACAAGAACCCGACAACAGCAAAGTACGACGGTTGAGTATTGCCTGAGATCAGCCCGTTTCAAATCCACGTCATAGCAAGATGCTACTATGAAGTATTGAATATTGTCTGTGCTGTTCTGGGCCACACACTCAGGACCACAGCTTGTAAAGCCGCCTCCAAGTCCGAGTTACAAGTCCTCACGTAGTCTTCCCCCCTTCGGCTCTTTGTCAGCCAGCCTCTAAGTTCCTTGCACGCGCCAGCCCTATTCTCCAAAACGCTAAGCACATCGACTCCCAGAACCATGGTTGCTCATACAACCCCCCACGAGCCCGAACTACGCCCATATTGTGTATAGTCCATATAACGTAATTATCACGCAGTCCTGGCTACAAATCTCAACCTTCTTTCTAAACCACAAACAGACAGACAACAGACTCACGCACATGCACACATATGTGTATGTGGGCATATATATATATATGTGTCGACAGCTGGACATGGCCGGGCCTCTGAATATGGCAGCTGGAAGGAGCACCGATTCTCGCATCCACCAGTCACATCCTGCGTGTAGCGCGGGATTGGGTTTACGGAGCGGGGTGACCTTTGTGGTGGTGATAACGGTGCGAAGTCTTCACTATATGGTTATTGCCACTCCTCACACTTGGTGGTTACCAAGTCCGTCTCACATGCATCACCCACACCTCCCAATAACATCACTAACAGGAAAAAAGTCCGCTTTATGTCTTATGATGCTCACAACAATGACAAATGCAACAACAGGTTGGTGACTGCTTCCTAGGGGGCACAGCACAACGAGAACGACGGCAACAGCAAAGGCTAAGGGACGACAAGCAGGATATGTCTACATGGTTGTGGGGAAGCGACACCGCCTTACCGCCTTAAGCCTAGTGTCGACCTTCAAGCGACATCGCTCTAAAAGACCGAAGCATGTCGACCTCACCAAACCTGGTAAGCTACAAGGTGTGCAACAGTAGGAGCGAGACATCCACAACACAACTGTCAAAATCGACCGACTTCAGCAACAGCAGCATAGCAAAAGCCACCATGCCGCCCAAAGCACTTCAACCGGAGCTGCAAGCAAAGCATACGCAGCACACAAGGATGCCCGGTCCAAGTACAGGTTGCAGAGGGGCCGGAAGTCCCAACCGTTGGGCGCGTCGATGCGAACCTGGCGCGGCAAAGTTGGCTAGGGCCTGCGCATTGGCCGTGCACTTGCATCTTCAATCGCGTAAACGTCATTTTTCCCCAAAGATCTTGCTCTGTCCCGATTGGGGGCTACCGTGTAGCCGGAACTGGACAGCTGCTTCGCTGAGCATTTGCTTCAGCCAAGCTATTGCAAGAGACCTTCGTGTGCTAATTGGCCCATCAGGGCTCAGCAGAAGTACGTTATGCTCCAGCGAAGGTGATGTTGTCTCAAAATTACGGGATCTGTTTGTAGTTTGTGCGACTCCATGCCGAGATCTGCCTCAGACTGAAACACGCACATAGGCTCTCCGTGCTCTTTCGGTCTGGCACCTCCTGCTGAAATGGTGAAAGCAGTGGTCCCTAAATCTAACTGAACAACCGTGCAGCTCATGATGAAGCTCTTCACGAATTTGAGGAAACCTGCCAAGCTGCTGCACTGGCTCCCAATGAAAATTCAGAAATCATCAGAAAGCATTGGATGGACAGTGGAACACACTGCTGCCACGCTGGTGCCGTCGACCATGGCGAGCATGACCAGAAAGCTTTTTACTCGAGAGACCTATTTCCGAAGACACCTTCGTGAACTTCTGAGCTCGGTACCTCATCCCATTTTTCCGATGCTGTAAAATACGGTCAAGAGACCAGCAACGACGCAGACCGCCAGCCCGGGCCTGCAAGCAGCAGAGGATTGTGGCATGCAGGCAAAAATGGCTTGCTCTGTGATGGCCGAGGGCTGGCATGCGAGTGGACCACGACCTTGCACGAACTGCTGCTGCGAACCTCGCGTTAGTCGCCGCCAGAGTGAAAAGTTGTTGTCAATGAAGTCCGCACCATCACCTGGGATGCAGCGAAGCTTCGGCGTGCCAACAAGTACCATCTTGTACCATCACGGCCTTGAAACGATGAACACCCCTTGACCCTTGGCTCTTTGATCTGCAAATCTGTTTTTTGCAAGCTGTTGACTCTCAAGGCGCCCTCCAGACTTATTATCGCCAACAGACCTTCTGTCCGTAGATGGCGCAGGCTGCCTGCTAGTCTTCCTATAGCAGAACTCAAGGAGCATATCTTACAAACACTCACCACAGGTCCTAACACAAACTCAGCTTGCCCCGCCTCAACAAGCCAATCCCAAGAGTCAAGTGCCCTCGTTGAATCTCGTTGAAGTTCAAGCTTCGATGCTGCCTAAACCTCATCCATCTCGGGCTGCGACTGATGAGGACTTGTCCTGCCAATGCCGAGGTGCTCCGGCCCGAGGACTCCTGAACCGAGCAATAATAGTAGTAATAGCAATTAAACGAATAGTAATAACATAGTAATAAGAATAGTAATGATAGTAACAAGAATTGTAATAATAGTTCGTTGGATCAACGGCCGCGCCAAATACATCCAAATACAATGATTCGCGCGCTGTGCCATCAAGAAGTAAAAAAACCTGTGATCTTGAAAGGTCGGCTGCTCTTCTCTTGGATATCCCGAAAGCCCCGGGCCTAAGGAACACAAAAAGCTACGGCGGCTACGGTGTCTCTACGGGTCGTGCTAATTACAGCATTGAGCGGACAGCAACACGTACAGTACCGGACTGTAGTAGACCACCCTTCCCCCCTTCCCAGAAGGGCGCACCCAGGTTGTCGTCGAGAACCTGGTGGGCGGCTTGCTGTCTTCAGCACGAATTCAACAACAATCCAGAGTCAAATGTGAGCATCGGTCAAAAAACCTTCGGGAGAGAAGCTCCCATGCCACTACCAAGACCTTTACCATGACCGCATTACTGCCCCACCGACACGATGCTACTGCAAAGCTGATAGCGATTGACAACACCATGCTCCATCAATGGTCAATCTATTCCGCGAGATGTAATGCTGACCGTGTGGATGTTGCCGTTGTTGCCGAAGTAAACGCCCCTCAGAAAACTCATCCTAAAACCGACTCTACCATACGCTGCTGCTCATACTGTGCTTGCAAGCTCAGACAGAGGACGGCAGAGAGAGGGAGGGACCGCGGAGGGCTTAGAGCAATAAGAAAAAACATGTCAACAGTGTGAATAACGCAACGATGAGGGTATGGAACCATTCCAGGAAATGCCAACCTACTTCTGAAAGCTTTGAACTTGGAAGGCTTGAGTCGACTTTAAGGTTCAACATAGGGTTCTGGGGTTTCAGGATTTGGGGATCCTTCGGGTTCAAAAGTTAAGAAAGTTATGTGGGGCTTAAGTTCGGGTTCAAGGTTGGCACAAAAGGATCAAAAGAGAGATCAGCCCCAAAAGAGCCTGTCGCTATCGTTGATGACGGAAACTAGCATGGAGTTTACTCTCTACTGTCCACGGAGACCTGCACGCAATTTCTTTTGTGGAACGTGGGCGGTGCGTGACAAGACATTCAGCTCCAACAGCAGTGAGACGTGTTGCTTGTTACTGTTGCAACACAGATAGATGGGCGGCGCTTAACAAGACATTCAGTTCCAACGGCAGTGACACGTGTTGCTTGTTGCAACCAGATCGCTTTGAATGCTGACCCCGCTACTTGGGGACCCACTTGTTCCAGCCGCCAGCCGCCCAGTACCACCACTGTCC